AAAAAAAAAAAAAAAATCCTAAGACCTCAATACAGCCATTACGTCCACTACTTCGGGACCATTTCTGCCCTCCATAGTCCCAATCTCCCTCGCATCCTCTCCATGACAGCTTGCCTCTCTATACGTCATTAATCCTGACCCGCAACGGGACTGTTCCCGCCAGGAGAGCCATAAACTGAATAGGCCACAAATAACAGACTCCACCGGCCACAGAACCGACGCTTAGCGAGCCCCTCCCTCGGCAGCAGAGCTAAACCCAAGGCGCATGCACCGCCAGAGCCCGTCGCGCTTTGATGGCGTCACGCAAGGCGCCGTATCCAAAATCTGGTCGCATCCATTGATGCCGCCTGGAACAAGTCTGTTTGTGTACTGTGCGCACGTTGTTTCTTGGGCACAGCGGATTTTTCCAGCTGAAAGGTAAACAAGAAAGAGTCCTGGTGGCTGAAAGCTGCTGAACAAAGCGAAGAAAGGGAAAGAGTGAGTGAGACCTTACGGAAACGTCACCAAAGCGCTCCGGAAGCGTCCGACAATGAAGGGTAAGCTGGATGAGAGACACGAAATTGGGCCGGGATGAGAGTACAGAGGGTCTGGAACAGGAAGCTGAGTCAGGGATACCTGTCGCAACAGAGTCCCAAGACAGTTTCCAGGGAAACCGTGTACTATTGACTCATAGTACACAAAAGAAATCGAGGCACAGAGTGTGAACGGCCGTATACACAGTCTCTAAGTTAGGAATAGATGTCAGGATCGAGTGTGTTCTCCCCAGGGGAGCTAGGGCCGCTCAGGGGAACTGAAGAGGTGGATCCAAGGCCTTGGCCAGACCTACTCACTACCTGCCTAGATAACTGCTGCCAGGACCTGCTCCCCTCTACCACCTGGCTTTTCACCCTTTGTCAAGTAAAAACCTTAGGCGCAGTATCGCAAACCTAAGGCTTTGGTATTTGAGCAGAAAAGAGATGTTCTGGGAAGGGAAGCAAGCACTGGAGCAGTATAAGAGGGGAGAGAGGATACTGTAAAGATTTAGCCTCTGATCTGTTGATTTACACTCTTGCCATGTCCTTTCATCAGAGATCAAGTGCCTTGGCATATCTCAACTTCAGTATTATTTTTTGCATAACTAGGAATAACTATGTTTAAAATTCTTAAAAAGATTAATGAGATTAAAATAAATGTGTACACATACCTATGAGTGTATATTTGTGTCGTTTTAAATCTACTTGATAAGCAGTGAGTGTACCAGAGCTATTACGTGTGTACTGCTGCAGAAAGATTTCCAACTCTGATTCTAGGCATCTGGGGTAGGTTTAAAAAAAAAAAAAAGTTATTCCTAGGGTCCCAGGCCCTGCACATTAATCTCAGTAAACAAACTGGAGTCTCAATCTGCAGTTCAAGGGAGAACTAAATTCTGTATGTAAAACTGGTAACTACCTTGGTTTGTTTGCTTGGTCAAACATGTACTCAGGGAAACACAGGAGAACAGAGGTGGGTTTTTGTTTCTTTGTTTGTAATTATTGTTGCTGTTGGGATAAGGTCTGCTATACAGTTCTGACTGAGCTGGAAACAGACTGTAAACAAGGCTGGCCTCTCCCTCTGAAGTGATGGGATCAACTGTGTGCGCTACCACACTCAGCTCAGGGACTAAATGTACAGATCGTAGTGTGAGCTACGTTTTCTGGTCGTTTGCCCTTTCTTACCACATTTACAACTGTACTCTGTCCACCAGTGCCATCGTGATGGTTTCCTCCAAACAAATAAGAAACAGAAGCATGGAGGTTTAGAGAGATTTTGGCATCATGCTGGTCAGATTTAGAATTTGAAGAAAGACAGTTGTATTTTATCTGTCAGGATGTGTTCCAATTTTATAGATTCTAAACAGTAAAAAAAATCTGTTTTAAACTTCTTGTAGTCAGCAAAATGTAGGGTTTCAACCAACCATCCCCTAACCATTAATGTCACCTCAGTTTTAGTGTCTTCATTCCTTAGTGAGCAACTGCCCCAGCATAATTATAACTTGTATTTTAAATCAGAACTGTTCTAAATGTGATTCCAATGAGGAATTTTTTGAACCTTCAGAGTTTGGAGAGTAGGAACTAAAACCCCATGTTTTAATAAGATTCCAGAGGTTCTTAAAACACATTAAGCTTTGAGAGGTACTCTTTTTTTTGTTTGTTTTTTGTTTTTGGTTTTTCGAGACAGAGTTTCTCTGTGTAGCTCTGGTGCCTGTCCTGAATCTCGCTCTGTAGACCAGGCTGGCCTCAAGCTCAGAGAGATCCACCTGTCTCTGCCTCCCGAGTGCTGGGATTAAAGGCGTGGGCCCCCACTGCCCGGCTGAGAGGTACTCTTTTTAAACCTCATCCTGGGAATTGCTAGGACAAATCTGGCCAGAGGGAAGAGTTAAGAAGTATCTAAGATAGTTGTGGTGGTACATGTCTGTAATCCCAGGAACTAGCACTTGGAATTCTGAGACAGGAGTATTAGGGGTTTGAGGCCATTGTGGTCTATGTAGCAAATTCTAAGTCAGCAAAGTGAGACTGTGTCATTAAATAAATATGTAAATAAGCAGCATTCAGTAGGACCAGGGACATGGATCCATGGTGAAGCACTTGCCAGGCATGCATTAAACCCCACTGAGTTTAATCCCCTAGCACTGCAGAGTAAAATAAAAGGATCATCCAAGAAAGCTTTGCCTTTTCATATTAACCAAGTATTCCATCTCTAAATAAGTGTAGGTCATACTTAGAAGAGCCTTGGATATTACACTCATTCCTAACAGGAAGTAATCTTCTGTTTTTGTATTTCATTCCCCAGCTGTGATTTACCATGCCTTTTCTCATAAAGAAGCCAAGGAGCACGATGTACAGGTACAATCTTTCAAAGGTGGCCTGGGAGCGGTAGACTTGAGAGCAAAGAAGGTTCAATGGCTTCGAAGACTGGTCTAGCTGTCCTTTCCCATGGATTACTCTTCACCTTTACAGTCAGCATATTAGGCCCCATAGAGGTCTTTTGTGCTGGTGTCTCCTTGTGCCAGGCTCCTTTCATAGGGTACCAGAGGCAGCTCTGAGGGACTTGGACTCCTAGATTTCATGTCATCTCCCTCTCCATGGGGAATGACAGCCTGTGCCTACCTGAATCCTGACTTGCTCTTGTTTCTGTGTTCAGTGCTCAGGCCATTTCATAAGTGAATGTTATAAATTCTGTCTGTCTGTCTGTCTGTCCGCATGCTTTGTCAGTTGGGTAGAAGGATCACCTGTGGCTCATAAAGAGTACATGTCCTACCAGGCTGTGTGGCGCATGCCTTTAATCCCAGTTCTTGGGAGGCAGAGGCAGGCAGTTCTCTGAGTTCAAAGACAGTTAGGGATACACAGAGAAACCCTGTCTCAAAAAAGCAAAAGAGAGAGAATATCCTTGAAATCATGATTTTAAAAGGCCTTGATTTTATTTCCCTATGAAAGAGAGACCACATAAGTGTTTAAAAGAGCCAAATTGTTCTGATATTGATGATGGATTGTTTAGCCATCCCATTTGAACTGCTTCAAAGATTGTGTGTTCTTTCTTTTTACCCACTGCTTTAGCAGAGAGAAGGTATCGGTCACTGTTGATATGTTAACCTAAGTAAAGCTGGCAGTTAGCCTCAGACTTGTTTTTACTGTTTGGTTAGTGCAAAAAGAGCCCAGCAAATGGTCCAGCCAAGAGGTAGGTCCTCAGGAACGAGCACTGCCCGGGTTGGAGCAGATGAAAGCCGAGTGAGGTGCCTGCTGCCCAGTGAAGAATAGACTGTTGCTGCCCCAACTTGAGAGGTGCTGAAACTAGAGTGTCTCAGGCCTGGGTGCAACAGTGAAGTGGTTTCACCCTCCCTTGCCAGGGGTATTACAGTCCTGTGGATGAGAGTGAGTAGACCCTGAGATGCCCTTCATGCTTTCTGCCTCAAGGAGGACTGGAGCAGACCTCTCCAACAGCAGCCACATGGAGGCCACAAGGCTGAAAAGCAAGGAAAGGGGACTGTGGTGCTCAGTGTCAGATTTCCTCCTCCTTGACCTGCCTGGAACCCCCAGGCAATTTCCCCTAGTTCTGGAATGGCTCATTTCCCTAACAGCCCCAGCTCCCTTCCACTTCAAGCTAGTCTTGTGGTCATGACTTATTAAATAACCTGTATCATGCATTTCTCAAGCTTCCTTCCCCACAAGGATTAGAGAAGCCTTGCATTACAAAGTATTTTGAATGCTCAATAGAGTAACCTCAGAGAAACAGGACTGGAATTCAGTTTTTGACCTGGCTGCAGTGTAGGACAGTGTCACAGTTAGCATGTGAGTGTTACTTTCATATCTTGGCAGTTGTGTGTAGCAAACACTTGGAAGACAAGGGATTTGTAGTCTAGATCATCAAAGCTGGTGGCTCTCAGGAACCGGGTCTGAGGGCCCTGGAGTCTGAGAGCAGAATAGTAAACCACACCACCTATCTCTGAGCAGGAGCTGGGGAGCCAGCGGGCTGAGGCCTTTGTGAGGGCCTTCCTGAAGCAAAGCATACCTCACTGGAGCCAGCAAGACTGTGAGAGCCATCTGCAACGCAAGGCTGTGGTCTTGGAATACTTCACTCGTCAGAAGCCAAAGCAGCAGAAGAAGAAATCCAAAGGCCTCACTGCCAAACAGAGGAGAGACATGAGGCTCTTTGACATTAACCCAGAGCAACAGAGGTACCCCCATCTTTCCTAAAGGCCTTGCCACTCATCATTGCCTCGTCTTTCTGGTCAGGGTGTAGACTGGAGATTCCAGGGGCTCACTAGGCAGCTCTGCCCCCTTAGTCTCAGGGGATTCCCTCCTAGGTGGCCTCCCCCTACCAATTTTTTTATGTCTTGGCTTGGCCTCTAAAAGTCAGGCATTGGTGAGCCTGAGAACTTTCATCTTTTAGTGTCTCTCCTAGGCTCACTAATAAGTGAGTCTGTTACCCATAGGCACAGACTGTCTTGGCTTTCTAGAAAAGAGGAACTGATATTCTTTAATATGGACTTTCCTATAGCTTTTAATATCACTAGACAGAATCACCCACTCAAAGGTCACCGCCAAAGAGAGGTACTGCCTACACATGTCTGAAGTTTCTGAAAGGAACATATCACTTTCTTGTGGGAGGATGTCTCCCTTAAGACAGTTCTGAGTTTGTGTGTACAGCCACTTTTTATAGGCTTTGTATAACACGCTATAAACACATAGCCTTCCATGTCCCAGAAGGCATGAGAGTGTCACTTTACCCTGGGACTGTCTCCCTGGGGTTCTTGCAAGAAGTTCTTGTTTCAGGTTTGAGCCTGGTGTTCTTGACTCTCTGACCCTGGCTTTGTGTGAAAGGGCACCAAGACAAATGGTAACAACCTCAGAGAAAAACTTTGGTCCTCTCCCTCACCTTCCAGACAATCCTGCTACCTTACACAAGCACCTACCTGGCCACCTGCACCTCCTGTAACAGTAGGTTAAACAAGACTGATGTTCATTTCTCTTGGGAAAAGGAGTTTGAGTGAACAGCACCTGGGTTGTTATGGCTGATGCTACATTGCCACCTTCAGACACTCTTCCTGCTCTGAACCAGGGGCTCCACCATCACACCTGCAGGAAAGGCATCAAGGAAAGGGCCACCTCTTCCCTTCTCAAGAGCAGAAATTTAGCCTTGAGAAGGTTCTACCAGGGAAGAAATTGATGTTCGAGGAGGGGAATGCACTCGGCCTTGGCCACATTGTCATTGGGGATCCTGGGGCTTACAGGCAGTCTCAAGTGCTCCCTCATGCTCATTCTCAGCCCTGAGCCCAGCTGTCTTCCTGAACACTGGAAATCCCAAGCTCATGTTTCTGACTTTGTACCTGTTCCTGACTTTATGACAGATACAGTCTCTTCCTCCCTCTGCATGAACTCTGGAAGCAGTACATTCGTGACCTGTGCAGTGGGCTTAAGCCAGACACGTGAGTTTATTTCTGAAGCCTGCCATGGGATTAGACCTCAAGTCTTGAGGGCACTAGAGATGCAGCCTGAGAAACCAGTTGGCTGTGGGTATTTGAAATCCTGTTTGCTTTGTTACCAACGCATCTTTGTGGCGTTCACCTACTAGGCGGCTGTAGATGATTCAGGCCAAGCTCCTAAAGGCAGATTTTCACGGTGCTGTTATTTCAGGTAATTTCTATGAGAGCATATGGGAACTGTTACTCAGGGGCAGTATTCAGCCTCTCTTCTGTCACTTGGCATTCCTGAGGTATCTCTATGTTACAAACAATGAGAATCTAACATGGATGTGACCTGACCTATCCTGGACCCTTATTAAATACACACTAAGTGCTCTCTGCATGTCATCAGCTCACACTGTTGGCACCTAGCCTCGAGCTGAGACTGTTGGGGACAGATTCCCACTCACCATGGTTTCCAGGATTCCATCACCAGCAAAGACCTTTCCTGTGACTGCCAGACTCAGTCACCCTGTGGCACCCAACAGCTATCTGGACATCCAGGAGGTACCTCAAGCTACCTATCTAACACAGAGCTCTTGGTCTCCCCTGAGGTCAGCTCTCTCTGACCTGGATTCCTCATCTCCAATACTGTTGCATCTCCATATCCAGTTTGTTCAGGCTAGAAACCAAGGAAATACATTCACATTACCTCCTAATCCTCCACCTCAAGTCAATTACCACACCTAGTTCCTGAATCTAACCTACCTCCAACTCACTCAAGTTGCTGTGGAAGATTTTTCTCACCCTGCCCCAGCTAACATACTGTTTTATTCCAACATGCACCCCAGATTAAATACCCAGAATGAAAGCTGTCATCAGACTACCAACTGCCGCTTGCCTGTTCTAAGCCTCTAGCAGCTTCAGATCCACTCAGAGTAAAAATCTTTGGTGTCCTTGGGTGGCCTCTGTGTGACTTGCACACCTGGTACCTTTGCTTGGGTCCTTCTCTCAATGAGGGGGCTCTGCAGGTTCATTGAATGACTCTTGCTGTAACTCAGGTACCTTTCCTGATGTCACTTCCTGGGTGCCTACCACCACTAAAGTTTCCCCTTCACTCTCATTATTCTGTTCTTATTTTCCTCATAGCCATTATCAGTATCAAGAAACAGAATTGCCCATGTTTTGCTATATACTGTCTTCCACGAGAGCTTCAGCTCCACAGGAGCAGGATACAGGCCATCTCATTTAGTGTCCTGCTCCAGCACCCACATAGGCACATAGTTCGCTCCAAATGCTGACTTCCTTGAGGCAGAGAGGGGACTGCTTGTGAGGAGTTTCACCCCTCATTGCTGGACAGCCCTCTAAAAGGACTACATTCCAGGAACAGTTCAGGGATCCCAGAAGTGAATAATGGATGTCCTGCCCATGGCACTTGCTCCATCAAAGCAACAAGTCTGGTCTTTGTTGGTTCTGTATATGACCTCTTGGCTCCAGAACCCTGGCCAAAACCAAAAAAACATTTAAGAACAGCCCAGAGATTGCAAAGCCCAGGACAAGGTGTTGGGAATCTTGGGGTCTTGCTGGCTTGGTCATTGCCCAGCTACAGAGCCACTATCCTCTAGGTACTCTCTTCCTCAGCTTTGAAGGACCAGGTTCCCAGTCCCTAAGGCCAGGCTGTGACTGCCAGCACTACCCAGGCCTTGCCCTCAACTGCTTCTCTCCTTTGTAGTCACGAAATCCAAGTGCCCCTCCTATGTGGGTGTCACAGGAATCCTTCTGCAGGAGACCAAGCATGTCTTCAAGATCATCACCAAAGAAGACCACCTGAAAGGTGTGTGTTGTGCCCCTAGGGTGTCGGATATATATCCCCCTTCCTGAGGCTCCCAGGTTCCACTTGGCTGTGGGGTCAAACAGGCTGCAGGTGCTTGCTATGTTATGAACTCCAGAGAGAGGTTCCTGCCCCTCTGGTTCCCAGGAGACATCTATGAACACAGTCAGCAGCCTGTCCATAAAGAGAACAGAAGAACTGCTTGGCTGGGTCTTGGGCCCAGATCTGTTTGAGATTCCTACCTGCCAAGGTCAAATGAGTAACTAAAAGACAGGCAGCAGGACCCAAAACAGCCTGCCCCTGGAGTGCTGAGAACTGTACCCTTGCTGGAGACACTCTAAGTCTTAACATGGTTAGCGCTGCTCCAGCGGGTACTTTTGAATCTTCCAAGATCACAGTAACTGACCTTGCCCACAAATCTAAGATTGAAACAACAGTTGGAAGGTTTTGTACTCATTCATCTGTTGATGCTGGAGATCAAGCCCAGGACCTCTCTGTTAATCCTGTGCTCTGGGTCTGAGCTACCCCCACAGCCCTGCTTCATTGTTTTTCCATTTCCCTGTATGTTCTTCTGCTCACATTACAACTCTAAGAAAGTAGTGTAGAAGTTTCCCCACTGAGCACAAATCTAAGAACCAGTGCAAAACTGTATGGGGAACAGTCTAGAAACAGGTCTGGGAGCCTTCCCTTCTGGGAGTTGAGTTAATCACCTCAGAATCTGGAAAATAGGCATTGAGTTATAGTTAGACTGTGAATCAAATAGCCTAGGTCTTCTTGGGTACTTCTGGCTTGGGTCTCCTCATTCCTATACACTTTTCTTTTTCAAGACAGTCTCATTATGTATTCCTGGCTAGCTTGGAACTTGGTATGTCTACCAGACTGGCCTTGAACTCAGAGATCTGCCTGCTGCCTGCCTTTGTCTCCTAAGTGCTGACAATACAAAGTGGCCATCTCACTTACCTTGTACAAACGTGTATGAATAATGCTCTGCCTGAAAATGAATGCACTGGCTATGTTGTTCCTCATCCTTTTTCTTTTCAGTTATCCCCAAGCTAAATTGTGTGTTCACCATAGAAATGGATGGCTTCATTTCCTACATTTATGGAAGCAAATTCCAACTTTGTTCAAGTGAGAGGTCTGCCAAGAAGTTCAAAGTAAAGGGAACGATTGACCTGTGAACTCTGCCACTGGAGACAGAAGTCCCTGGCAGCTGAGAACTGAAAATACATTAAATACCCACTTTTCCATGAAAGCTTTCTGGTTGTGGCCCACCTGTAGTCCAGGGAAAGCAGACTGGCCGAAGAACTTGGAGCAACACAAGAAGAAATCGGGGTAGAGATTTGCCTCTCTAGGGAGGAAAGACTAGCAGAAAATGCACCAGGACTAACCTTGGGTGATTTGAAGAAGGGGGTCGTTTGGTTCTATCCTTCATACTTTCCTATGTTTCCCAAACATTCTGTGCTGAACCAGTTTTTCAGTTAATAACAAAATACACTACAGGCATAAATGGGCTCAAACGAAAGAATCATTCTTGACTTTCTGGGTTGAAAGGGAAGGGGCCATCTACCACCTCCCATTGCTTTCACAGTGTGGAACATCATGGATCTGACTGGAAGTCAGTCCTGCTCCAAACTCTGCACTGCCTACAGTTTGCTGCTCTCACATGGAGGCATAGTGAGCTTGCTAGATGGCTCAGGGCTTCACTGCAGCAGTCAGAATGGAGCAGAGAGGCAGGTCTGCCAGTACCTGTTGGCTACTATTTGGATAGATTGGCCAATGTATCCAGCAATGATACCTTTGGCATCTTAGTTCCATTTTTGCTGCTGAAATTATAACTTTTCTACTGTGTAAGGCCAGATGAGGTCTTTCTGCATAAGGCCATTGGAACTGCAGGTCAGGGCCAGCATGAGGAATTGGGGGAGGGGGGGCGTCCAGCCACTCAGTGCCAGTATTGGGGAGGCCTTGTCCTTGAAACCTGGTTCAGAGGTATCAGTTTTCCCTTGCTTGTAAGAAGTGTCTGCTGGCCAGCTCAGAAACTTGCCCTGCCAATAATAAGTGACAACCCATCCAACCACTCACCCCAGGTAAGCGGTGTGCTGGTAGTCAATTCCTTGGTGCCTCCCACTCAGACTACACTGGATGGAAGAGGAATGAGTGAGCCTGATGTCCTTTATATGACAGAAAAACAGAAAGCCTACTTCCTCCCAGAAATCAAAGTGCACCCCCAAGTCCTAGAGACTCTCCAGGCCCTGGTTCTATCTACATCATCTAGACATTCCTCATGGCACTGACCCTCATGTTGTCACATAGTCCTTGCCACCCAGGTTCAGGGCACACATGAGCCCTCAGCCTGAAAGTGGTCATTGTCCAAGGTCTCATGGACTGGGAGATCTGAACCAGAAAGCCTGGGTCCAGAGTCATGTTCTTCCCAGCAGTACAGCTACAGGGATGTAAAGGAGACTGCTAAACGTATGTATATGTTCCTTATTTACCCAGCTCTCTACCAAGGAACTCTGTCTTCTGTGTGGAGACTGCTGTTCTAGCCAGCCAAAAGTGCATGGGTGTTACAAATTTGGAGCAGACCTGTTCATCCCTGTGATGTAAAGGGCACACTATGATGCATAAACACAGTTGCTTCCCAGAAAAACTGCTGGTGCCACTTGCCAACTGAAACGTTTTTCTGCTGGCCCCAACTCAAGTTTCCATTGACTAAGGACCTTCTGTCTCAGGGGAGACAATGTGATGCTCATCTGCCACAGAGTCTCTGCTCTTTGTCTTGTCTGGGATGTGCTGCTATTGTCTCCCTGATCTTCCCAGGGGACCAAGGTCCACAGCATCCTCCCAGGCACTGGTCCTAAGGAAACTGCACTTGGTACTGCATAGAGTATGGCTAGCCAAGTCCCCATACTTTCATGGTACTTGGCACTTGTGACTCTGTCTCTAAGGAGCAGGACTATGATAGAAATGAGATGGGTGGTATAGAGAGGCACATGTGACAACCAGCTCTGATGAATGTAAACCATGCACTACAGAAACATTGGCCCCAGGGAGAGTATCATAGAAGGCAATGGGAAAAGCCATTGGCACCTCAAGAAAGGACTCAGACTGCTATCGAGATTAGGTTGTGCTAAGGGTTCCTCCTGACTGCAACAGCCACCTCTCGCTGTCCTATGGTCTATCCTCAAGAGGGGGAGCTCTAGTGTGTCTCTTGTAATGATACCAGGCCATTGAATTAACATCTCATCCTGTGACCCATTTATCCTTAGTTACTCCTTAAAGATCCTGTCTCCAAACATAGTCATGTTGGAAGTTAGAGCTTCAACATAAGAATTTGAGGAGGGTAGTGTACACCTCAGTAACAACTGTGAAATGTTCCTAATTAGAAAAGGTTGCCTATACTTCCCAGGAAGGTAGGAATATCTGATCTGGACCCCATACGTAGAATGGCTTGGGATTCTCTGGTGTTTCTTTGGTGTATGGTATGTGTAGGCCACCAGCCAGCTCAACCTAACTGCTAGACTCCAAGCTCCTTTATTTTGGCAGCATGTACAGTATCCAGACTCCTGGAGTTATCAGCAGCCAAACTCCTCCCTCCTTGTTCCACTGGGAACAGCACAGTCTGATTGTAGATGTGTAGAGTGATGGGTGGTTTAAAAAGTACACTTCTTCCCTGGCCCGCACACCTGCATGGTGGGCATGCACCAACGCCTGCATGGTGGACATGCACCAAGGTCTCCGTGTGCCCAAGGCCGAGAGGCCTCCATGGCCGACGTGAGTGTCAATCAATCCAAGCTGCCAGATGTGAATGAAGTGTGTTGAGATTTTGCTGTCCTGGAGGACCACACCCTGGCTCATAGCCTTCAGGAAAAAGAGATTGAGCATCATTTGGCATCAAACATTCAGCAGAACTGTCTGGTCCAGCATGATCTTCAGGTGACTAAGCAGCTCCAAGTGGAAAACCTGAAAGCCCAGGCTCAGCTCCAGAAACACACTACAAAGACATTGAACAGCATGGTTGTAAAATTGCTCAGGAAATTCAGGAGAAGCTGACTATTGAGGCTGAGAGACGACACCTTCAGGAGAAGAAGGATGAGGACATAGCACGTCTTTTGTAAGAGAAGGAGCTACAAGAAGAGGAAAAAGAGGAAGAGGCACATTCCAGAGCCTTCTGGGGGCAGTACTTTTGGAGATGGCTACTTATGAAGATGGAGGAATGAAACCAAGGGGAATAAAAGAAACTCTGTACTCCTGCACTAGTGACCCACGGGGATCAGGAATGGTATGATGCTGAAACTGCCCAGAAATTGCAAGAGAGAGAACTTTTGGCTACACATGTGAACATAAGAGCAGCTCAGGGTTGCTCAGGATGAAGAAATTGCTCAACTTTTGATGGCTGAAGAAAAGAAAGCCAAAGATCAAGAAAGGTCATCTTTGGACAAAAGGAAACATGACCCTGAGTGCAAGTCAAAAACAAACTCAACACACGCAAAGTCAAAAGAGTGAAGAAGCACAACATTCCAAGATTGACAGGCTGTCAGGACCACTGCCACCTACAGTGATGGGCCCTGAGGATCTGGACTATACCCATTTTACAAACCAGCACAGTGCCACTCGTCATTTCTCAGAGTCCTCACGTAAAGGTTTCCATAATAAGCGGTAAAACAAAACAAACAAAAAAATGGAATCTGGGGGCTGGAGAGATGGCTCAGAGGTTAAGAACACTGACTGCTCTTCCAGAGGTCCTGAGTTCAATTCCCAGCAACCACATGGTGGCTCACAACCATCTGTAATGAGATCTGGTGCCCTCTTCTGGCCTGCTGTCATATATGCTGTATACATAATAAAAAAAAAAAAAATGGAATCTGGACTTGCTGTAGCAGATATTAACTAAATGATACAAAATGTACTCCACATTGGCTGTTCTCCTTCTATGTGCCATTCCTGGTTGTTACTCTGAAAAAAAAAAGTACACTTCTTGCTGTGGCATTGAGGGCTTTCCAGAGAGGATTAATTGAAAGAGAAGATCCACCCTATACATGGGAAGTATCATTTCCTAGGTTCAGGAGCTGGATACAAGAAAAGAAAGCTTGCTACAGCACAGGCATCCTTGCTGTCTCTGCTTCTTGTCTGTTATGTGTCCTTTTCCACTGTGTCCTCTCTGCCGTGATGACTGAAGCTCAGAGCAAAATAATGCCTCCTCATGTCATTTATGTCAGTTATTTTATCACAGGGACAAAAAGTCTAACATATAGGATGGGCAGAGTTGGCCCCTGAGGGGAGCCATGGGATATCAAGAATCTAATCACGGGCTGGAGAGATGGCTCAGAGGTTAAGAGCACTGACTGTTCTTCCAGAAGTCCTGAGTTCAATTCCCAGCACCCACATGGTGGCTCACAACCATCTGTAATGAGATCTGGCACCCTCCTCTGTGTAAATAATAAATAAGTAAATAAATATTTAAAAAAAAAAAAAAGAATCTAATCACACCCAGGTTCAGAACCATCATAAAGAACCCAGGAAATCAAAGCAAGGCCTGAAAATGTCTGCTACTGTTCTCCCCACCAACCAGGGGAAGTGGAAAGGGGACATGCGGCCACTAGTCTCAATCCCATGAGACATACCTTAGATTGCACTCAGCTCATTACTGGTGGGGAGAGATGGCAGGAACTTCTACTAACTTTCAAAATCATGGAGCAGGATACAAAATTCTGATCAGTTTATGAATCAGTTATGAAATCTTTCAGGGTCTCCAAACTACCATCTGTCAAATGGGATAACTTGACTGCATGAAGGCCTCCAAAATCAGGCTCCTGGAATTCCTGCACCAGAATAAGCAGGGACATGTCTGCAGCAGGTGATCCTATGCTGCACTTCAGCCATATTGAGTCAGACTCCAGGAGTGGAACCAACATAGCTGTGTGTTTATGTAACACCCCACCTGCTTCCTCCAGACACCAGTATTTGAAGATGGTACATTCCAGGTGGCATCTAAGTCTCTTCCAGTCCTGATGTCTGATTTGACCAGGCTTGAGCCAGGCTTTTCTGGATGCTGAAAAGGATCACCCAATGACCAGTCTCTCAGGTTCTGAAGAATAAACATGAAGATTGTTCCCCAAATCCATCAATTAGGGTAAAGGCTCACTTTCTGGACAATGGCCTTTGCTTTAATTTAGTTTGCATTCCTTAACTACAATGCCTCATTAAGACATCTGTTAAATGTCTATAATATTAATTTAATAGAAGGGGTTCCAATAGAACTGTATTGAATTGTCTATTTAATTAACCTCATAGGCCTTTAATGGAGGTCTTAAATAGACATGATTAACAAGAGTACTAGACAAATTAAAATTAGAGTCAATAACGTTCTTGGTAATTTCTCATGAGCTGTGAAGGACAAGCATTGCTAAGTAGGCAAACACAGAGATGACTGCAAAAGAAAAAATGTTGGAGCAGCAGGAAATCCAGAATGGACAAGGCCCTGACGGTTCACCATTTTGTGTCCCAAGAGATTTTAACA